GTGTGTGTGTGTGTGTGTGTGTGTGTGTGTGTGTGTGTGTGTGTGTGTGTGTGTGTGTGTGTGTGTGTGTGTGTGTGTGTGTGTGTGTGTGTGTGTGTGTGTGTGTGTGTGTGTGCGCGCAGTTAATTTCGTAGCTTTCATATTTGCAGATATTTGCACACGAAAGAAACAATGAAAGATCGTAAAAGAAAAGTTTTGCAACAATATACGTATAACAAAAATTAAATCGCACATAATTAAAACAAATATGTCACTAGAAGAACTTAAATTTATATAAACTCTTATTTACTATATTATTAATTAGTTGTACTAACGCAATAAAATATGCAAAACTTAAACTATTAAATCCGTATTTTTCACTTGTCTGCGATACGTACCGAGAATGTTCTATGCGCTAAACTGTTTAATAAATTCAATGGCACTTGCTTTGTAAAGCTCACATAATATGATGTATGTATATTATATGCACAAAATAAATTAAGAAAGGTATAAATAATTACAATAATTTTCTTCAAGAGGATATCAAATTCATTTTACACTAAAAATTTTAGAGAAATTCTGCATTATGTTAAATAATTCAATAATTGTAGTGTTGACTGTTTAAGAAGCACTGCTATTTAAAAGAAGAACAAACTTATCTATTATCACTTTACATCCAAAAAAGAACAATTTGTAAATTTTTTTATAAAATCGCACGAGAAATGATTATTTCAATTATTAAGAAATTATATAATTTTCCATGTAAAAAGCAGATCAAATAATCGTGTTTATACATACCTTTCTTAAAATATTTTACATATATATACAAATAGATAATGCCTTCAAAACTTTGTACATCAATACATATATTATTAATAATTCTCTTTTTCTCTCTCTTCCTGGCCTAAAAAATATTTTACGTATTTTCGTGATCAAATATATAGAAAATCGCAATTAAGATATATGAAATATCGAGATTGTTTCTTATAAATTTAAACTTTTACTTTTTTTTTTAATTTCGCATTAAAACTATTTTATATTTTTACGATTAAAATTACTTCAATGAAACTGACAACAATAATAATCAAGGAAAATAAAAAACCTGTAAAAATGCTGTATTAAATTCACACATATTGTGTATATATATATATATATATCTTTTTTGCAAGAAGTTTTGGTAAAAACATTATCAATATATATTTTTTGTTCTTTTAAATTTACGATTTTCGTAGAATCTTCCGTGAGAGCTTGAAATATAAAAAAATAAAAATATAAAATTTACCCATGTTGATCTTCATCTTCTTAAAATTAATGATGTGTCTAAAATATTTATGCACAGAAACCATTTTTATAAAAAAAAACTACAACCTGTGTGTGTTGTGTAGAAAAATCATTAATATAACATTGAGAGAATATTTGTTTCATAATACCTATTTTCTTCCTGTCTTCGTAAAAGAAATCCCTACAAACCATATAATTAAAAAAAGAACGGTATATTTTTAACATTATTTCAAAAATATTTACTCTTAATGGAATACCCCGAGTATATATGTACATATACACATACATACTCTTGAGAAATATAGTCATAACTTGAGGTTTATGCAAACATAAAACAGTTCATATTTCAATATGTAAATTATTGATATCTTACTTTGCTTCCATTTTTTGCAATAAAATTTAACGTCTTACTATTAAATATATTTTTTTTAAATATTAATCGTGATTTATATGAAAATCTTTTATTTTTTTATTTTTTAATCATACCTCTCACTTATCCTCTTTGGTCAACCTTACGTGTACATAATTAACGTGTGAACGATATTAATATTAAATGAAATAATCGCTAAAAATAGTAATTATATACTAAAACGAATACACACAAAGAATTAAAGATTAGAAAGACGATAACGAATATATTCTTTCTCAAATCATGACTATATCTTTCCAGACTTTTCACGGACTATATTTATGCGGACTAGACTCTAGCACTAGTTTTTAAAGTACTGAAAATCTGTTTTTATTTAGTGATATTCTATCCTAAGATCTGGAATCATCCAGTTCCTCAACAACAGTTTTTGATGTTATTAAGAATTAAAAATTATAGCTTTATCGTAGCGATCAACATTATTAAATACGCAGCTTTTAAGTGAAATGAAAGCTTCCTTTCTTTTTTCATTTTATATAATTTTTAATCGCAGAATCTAAAAAAGCAGTCTTTCGAAATAAGCGTGCATCTGTTATCTTCAATATAAAATCAAAATGCACGACCTCCTTAAAGATGTTTTCACGAAGTATAATTTCGGCTCGACAAATAAAATTAACTAAAATTAACGTAATTATCTTATCGCACGTAAGTACATAGAGCCACTTCACAGGCACAATCATATTACATGAAACATTAATACTTTAATAAAATAAAATGCATCTCTTGTTGCACCAATTCGCACTTCACAATACTGTTTGTATAATTATCTTATTTAAAGTTAAAAATAATTAGGCAAAATGTAAAGCCTTTAACAACTCTCATAATATTTCTAAACATAGTCAACTGCATAAAAAAGAGTTTGGTTATGAAAATTTAAAACAAATATTTATAAACATTTTCATTTAAATTAAGTAAATAATATAAACTGCCATATAGAGAAAAGGCATAATATATTAGGAGTGTGGTTTAGTTCTGAGGGGTTTTTTTTTCTCAAAAACTGATTTATTCTACTAATATCTTAGTCAAAATATTTCCCTTTGTTTTCTATAACTTTTTCTGGCAAGAGATGAATTCTGCGACGACAAAAAAATTCTTTCTTGGAGTTGATTCAATTTTCAACAAATTTTCGTACTTCTTCGAAATTATGAAAGTGTGTATCTCTAGAGCATGTTGCATGTCGATCAGAACAAATGATAATCAGATGGAACAATGTCTGGAGAATACGGGGGATGCGGTAAGACTTCCCATTCACTGATAATTCAACAAGAGATCAAAAATACTCTTTAAGAAGCTCCATTTTTAAGATATAAACACAGTGTTTACTGCGTTTATTGTTATTAAATGATTAAATATCATGGAGTAATATTAAAGCATTAAGAAACAGGTGTGATTGGAATGTCCTCGACAACACTGTGACATTAGTATATCTTGCAAAACCCCTCAAAATTAAATCAAACTCTTAATAAAAAAATTGTTAAAAAAATTCTAAAAATATGTTGTTTAAAGTGGATCAGAAGTTAAAAATTGATACGCTAACGATTCACATTAAGGCTGTTATACATGTTAAACTTAATTTCATTAGTATCAATATGCAATTAAAATTTGTATATATATTCTCGAAATGATTCTTATGCCAAATTTTTCTAGATAATTTTATGTATAAGATTTTTGAAATCTTATGTATTAAGTGAATTACTAATAACGTTCTATGTTAACCCAAGGTATACACACAGTCTTTTTGACGACGTCGTATACACACTGGGATCCCGGAGATCCCATCCATATTTATTACTGTAACTCTAGTAAAAATGAACATATTTCAATTAATTTTTTTTTCAGTCGATAGAGAATCGACCAAGGAACAAGCCTATAATGTTTAAAAGTCGATAGAATTAAGGAGCTCCAAGATATACGGGTTCAAAGAAAAAGGAAAGTTCAAAAACGAAAAAATCTCGATTTAGCACCTTTTTACAAAAAATCATATTTCTTTTGTTCATAGGCCGATTTGAAAAATTCTTGAAATTCTAAAAGGGCATACTTGAAATAGTAACAAAAAAATTTGGCGATCCGATATTTTAATTTTTTCAACAAAACTGCAAGCAGTCCCGGGGACTCCAGTGTGTATATCTAGGGTTAAGATAGATGATTTTTAATTTTAACCAAAAACATTAGCGGTACATATTATACAGCGCAGTTAAAAAAAAATCAATAAAATGGATGTTTAAGCTTTATCATATGTTATCGGCACTGTTATATTGAGATATTGTGAGAACATTATACACTTGATTGCAATGCCATATAATGAAGAATTCGTTGCACGAGATACTTTTCATATAGTCAAATTTATACTGAATCAAAAGCATTGCTTAAACAAACTCTAAAAAAAATTAAAAAAAAAAATCGTTACGTATATATCTTCAATCAGCTTAGACCTCATATTTAGACCTCTTAATTAAATTTAAAGCTGCATACAAAGCTCATCGTATATGGCCGCTAAATTGTAATTGTGGAAGAGTTGTAGAAATTACGTAACGGAACTATATGCATCTCATAGTTTTTTCATCAACAAGGGAACTGGATATCTCTCCCTATTCCTCGACGATATTCCTGTACTACTCTGTGCCGTTTGAGAATGTAATAGCATCCTACATAATTTGTCGACCTCTTCGTCGCTCGAGCTAAATCTACTCAGGTGTCTGTCGTTAGCGGAGCCGTGGGAATCATCACAGTTCTCAATGTCGAATCTTAATCGCGATTCTACGTGTACGGGGCTAGATGCTCTGGTGGCAGGCGCGGTCCTGCTGCGAGATTCAACATTTCTCAACGGGATTTTGCTGAGACCCTGATTATGATTCACGTCCAACGTCGAGAAGTAGCCTTTCACAGCGCGACGCACCGTCGTGTGTTCCTCCAGACTGTGACGTTTCACAAGCTGCTTCGTTTCCTTGCCGTCGGGAAACTTCAGGCTGAAATTCGTGGAATGCCGTTTGGTTCGGTCCAGCGTGCACTTGGAGTTGGTGAACTTCAACTTGTCTTTGTCCAGTATCAAAGAGTTTCTCTTGAATTTCTCGTCCAAAGATTTCTCCTGGGAGTTCGCATCCCACCCGAATCTAGCTCTTCCGTGCGGGGCGGAATACCTCTTAGTCCTCGCGTCAGTCTTAGACAGGTGGTGCTGGTCGCTCAAGTTCTCCTTCGCCATGCTACGCTGTCGCAGGCCCTCCTCGTAATCCATCGAAATCGACGTGCCTCTCGACGAGTCGCTGCTCTCGCTCGTCCTACGTTTCATGCAATCCTCGTACTCGACGGAGGAATGCCTCTTGAACTTTCCCTTGTCGAAATTCACGCTGCTCCGTCTAGGCCGAATCACCGTAGCGTTCAGCTGTGGCGGCCTCCTTGTGGCGATGAAATCTTGCAAATGCGGAATCTTCGATGTGCTCTGAGAAGCGGAGAACTGGCTGGGTATCCTGATACCGGCGTCCACCAAGAACTCATCGTCCGACTGCATCACGGATATCTCCGGCATGGAGCTAAAAGCCCAACAGGAATTATAGTGCGCCGCGTTTGTTAAGGCTCGCAAAGCGGCGAAGTTTGGCGCCCTATCCTTGCCGCTAGCGTTAGTAGAGAATTCATGCGGATAATCCCGTGTTAGTAGGGAGTGCTGCTGCTGCTGCTGCGGCTGCGGCTCCTGCTTGTTCTCCCTTACGAGCGACAGAAAAAAAGATTTCGTAAAGGCGGAGGGACTGTATTCGTTCGTTTGGACTGACTGCTTTCTTTGAAAGTTATTCACATAATCGTTGTCGGTATCGTAATACGAATGACAGTGGGGATCACTACTTTCGTATCCTTCTTCACAGGCGTCCGGCAATGTTAAGAGTGCCTGGAATACTGCTAACTTGGAGCAGCTACATTGCGGCTTAGGCGCAATGTAATCGTTAGACGATCCGTTCACAAAGTTAAAATGCGTTGTATTAGTATGCGAGTTGAAATTCCCTACTTTTTCCCACGGGTGTGTTAGTTGAATTCTGTTAGATACAAAGCAGACATAACTTATAATTAGTTCGGCTAACAGAACAGTAATTTGGCACATATTAAAAAGTCTTTAATATAAATAACAATAAGTATATATTTAGTTATTTATAATATAATCGTTAATTGTATAAAATTTTAATTTAAGCACATAAAACTAATTATGTTATCTTCAAACATGCACTAGTTTTATACTATTCTGAATTGTGTTTCTTTTTAGTTTAAATCCTTCTTACCTCGTTTTTAAGCTTTCGATTACTTGACGCGAGGATGCAGTTCCATCTGTAAAACATAATCATTTAAATTAAAAGCTTATTAATAGCTATTACACTGTCGGTATAATTGTCTTATTAATCTCTTGTTTTTTATTTAACTAAATTTTAATCAGCATTGGTCAAAATCCAACCAATTATTTTCTTCAATCGCTAACACAAATTAAAGATTTGTACTTTGAAAAATGGCCTGGGCTTGCGAGACAGACGATAGGATTACTTGGATTTCCGCTTCTCAACTTCTGTTATTATTAAATAATATGAGTTTCTTACGTTTAATTAGTAACGATTTTATTTCATGCAATGCTTCCTTGTTCGTCACTAAGTGCTCACCTTTTGGCTGTCTGAAACATAGATACACATAGATTGCTTTAATAGAAGATAATAACAACAATCTACAATCGGTCTACGTTACTTTCAATACATTAATATATACAATTTAAATTAACTTACAATCCTCTTGTTGTAGAACTATCAGTTGATGCTCTTGTCCAACCTGAATGAATATTATTCAATTATTAATCGAATGCTTAAATTATCATTTCTTGTTAATAATATTATTAATATTCAATTGCTTGCTAAAAAGTTAAAAAATTCTAAATAGTATATATTTAATAATACCTTTCTTTACTACAGGTCCACTTGTTGGTTTTCCTGCCAACTTCTTTTCTTCTTCCAGCTTTTTAGCATCTTCCACATCCTGTCTGGTAAGCTTTATCGTTAACTACACAAATAAAAAAAAATGTTGAGAAAAACATATTTCACATATAACGTGCATATTCTTAAATTAATTAATCACTTACACTTTGGCCTTCATATTTGACTTCCATCTCGTCCAATTTCTGCGTAACGCTTTTTAAAATAAACAGTACGTCTCTGTCCTTTTCGTTGTTCACCAAATGTCTCACAACCGACTCCAATGATGTTAGCAATTTCTTATCGGTCGGCATCCACAACTGATTCTTCAGTTGCGGCAGCAAAGACACTACTTTCAATCTTATATTAGCTATCGAATCTTCAGCCAGATTCAATAAAACATTGAAAAAATGTTCCTTAAAATATACAGAAGAAAAGATCTCCAGTGCTGCGGCCAGCATACGAACAAACATCATTCTCACGTAACAATTAGGATTATTGGCTAAATCTGTGAACATTCTATTACGCAGTTCCGCCCTTTGTATGGGCTTCGCGTTATATCGTAGAAGGAGAAGAAAAAGTGTTCCTGCAGCGAGACGTACTGGTATTGGCCGCTAAAATTTTAGAATTAAATTCACACATTTAACGAAACTGTAAAACCGTGAAAGCACAATGAAGAGAATATTGGGAACAGGAATGTAAGAATTTCAACAATCTGTCAGAAATTGTGCATTCCACAGTACGCGGTTTCTGAATAGGTTGAAATTTTTATTTTGAACATTTCTTCCCCATTGTGCTTAAAGTTTTAAGGAAGAACAAAACATTGTAGATACTTACTGCATGTAAAATTCTGGAGAAAGTCATTGGAATAAAATACGAGTATATAAAATCACTGGGAAAACATCTGGGTAAAATCTCTAGCTGAGCGTGTATTAATGATGCCAGCCTCCAATTGTGAGTACCCGCAATTTCAGCTTCACACTTTAATATAGCTTTACCTATGTCCATCAAGGAAGAATCCTATAATGAATAATACAGTATCGTAATACAGTATCGTAAGAACTGAACTCCGTTTCAATTACAAATCGCGTAATAAAATTCGAATTACCATCTTATCTGTTCCAATAGCTTGATTTTCGGCCAAACATTCCAGCATTAATCCTATATGAGGAATTAAACCTTGAAGTACCTCCTCGGAATCATCTTTTAGCAATTTTATCAAGTTTCCCTTTATCCGTGGACTCTTTGATCCCAGAATCCTTGCTACCTGCAAATGTACATAATAGCTTTTATTACATATGTATAGTATTATTATAAGTATTATAATTTAATAAATGCAATGTTCAATCTTACTTCATGAATTCCACACGCAACGGTTTTCCGAACTATGTAATAATGATCGCTTGCCAGTGCATCAAATGTCATAAGTATCGCATCTACGTTTTCCGCAATGCTTGATACGAAAATAAACATCGCTGGCAAATTAAATGCACAGTGTCTTCTGCATTCAACAAACCTTTCGTCCTGTGTAGGATTGCTGCTAATCTACGAATTTGTATTGATATTGAATATTAAAGAATGTTGAGTATCTTTCAGATTAGTTAAATAATGTAAAATTTTTAAATATTTTCAATACATATGCTATCTACTGCACACTAATACATATGTATTTCAAGAAGAGTTTACAGAAAAATTATTTAATGCATATACATGTATTTATAGTTAATTTATATTTTGCAATATATATGTATATACTTACAAACGTAAAACGCGGTTTCTCTTTCTTTACTGATGGTATTCCCATTTGCGCAAGTTGTTGATAGTATTTTATAAACCATGCTTTCTCTGATATTGATAAACATTCTGAAATTACATTTATCACAAATATATCATTTTTGTCATTTAAATATTATTATTTAAGCACATAGTGCTGCCAATATAAATATGAGAGTTATTTCTTACTTTCTAGGCCAAGTACAAGTTTTCCGAACTCTTGCGCTATTACACATATCACATTATCTTCCGATTTAGCTGCATTTTCACATAGCTTCTTAAGAAGTGGAGCTATTATATTTTTTATTGTATCTGTAAACAATTTATGTTTTTAAATTAATTTTTATTTGCGTATTTTTTATATTTGTATTATGTACTACGTAATTTTCGTTCTTTTTATTAAAACCTAAGATGGTCAATAAAATAAACAATTACCTTCCTGAAGATGAGGTAGTAAATACACTATTGTCTGTACAGAGGCGTATCTTACACTGGTTTCTTCGTCACTTGCTAATTCTACAAGAGATGGTAATAGAGCAGGTTTTACAGATTCAGCACCGAGACCTTCTGCAACAAAACGCAGCTGCAAACAGATACTAGCTCGCACTTCACTGCTTACATCCTGACAAAGGGAGTGCACTGTTGGTAGAACTTCCTTCTGTATCCTGACAATTTTAATTATAATAGTTATTTATTAAATAGAATATACCTAAATAATGAATTATGAATCGTTTCAATATTGTATTTAATATTATTTAATATTAAATGTGAATTTTTACTTTTAATATTTCTTTTATGAGAGAGAGAGAGAGAGAAGGCAATTATTTAATATAATCTAAATTAATTTTGTTGATATTTGAATTAGATATAAAAAGGTTTTATTATACATAAAAATCATGAAACAACAACTTAAAAAACAATTATAAATTCGAATATACTCACATAGCAGAATCGAATCGTGTACAAATCTTTCCCAATAACCTGCTGCACGTTATCCTGGAGTAGATAGTTTGTGACAATTGTCCTTTACTTATAGTCAATGGAAGAATCTGTGTGTGAGAGTGTTCTTGTTACCATCCATCCAAAAGAGTGCTATGTTATTACATTTACAGCAATTTAATATTTCAAACATTGATCTAAAGTGTAAATACAAAATATTTTCTTTTTTAAGTTTCTATTTGCAAATGCAGAAATCATATTTTATTTATATATTAGTTTCTTTATAAATTTAATTGATGTACACTGAATAAATTTAACAAATTGTTTTTCTTCCGTTTAAGCCAAAAAAAATTAAGTATATCAATTTCTTTAAATTGCCTTTACAAACCTGTGCTCTTATGACTTCTACCGGCAGTAATTCTATCACATCCAGTAAGGTCTCCAACCATGCATGACAGATAACTTTAACATAGACAAATACAATAAAAGAGATTACTATGACAGATATGGACAAAAATATATATATAAAAATTATAATTAAAAATTGAATGTATATATATATATA